CCCCCCCCCCCCCCCTCCCCCCATAACTGAAAACCCAAGAGTGGCCACGCAACTCTGGGGCCCTAGCAGGCTGCTCGCTTCCGGGCGCGCTGGGCACCTGAGGTCAGGGGCTACGGTTGAGGTTAGGGGCTAAAGGGTTTAGGATTTAGGGTTCAGGGCTTAGAGTTTAGGGCTTAGAGTTTGTTGATGATCTAAATCCTGCATTACCCATCATAAGGAATATACCATAATTCCTATAGTTTAGGGTCCTCAAGGGCATGAAGGATTTATATCATCAACGGTAGGAACGCCGAAGCCACCAGCAGGTGCTAAGGGTTTCGGATCGCAGGCTCGCGCGAGGCAGGTACGATTTCCAGCAACAAGTCTCAACGACGCGAAGCAAGGCCAGCATAATTGGGTTTAGGGTTTAGGGTTTGGGGTTTAGGGTTTGGGGTTTAGGGTTAGGGCCGGGGGTTCAGCGGGTTGAGGAGTTTATATAGGCCCATTGGGTTTCGGGTTCACAACTCGGACAAACCGGGCGAGGTTCAACAGGTGCAGGTCGGCGTCACGTAGAGCATGCTCCCTTTTTTTTGCTATTGTCAGAGAATGCTCCTTGACTAGGGTACCAGGCCATCTCAATCGATAAACCCTACTCTGATCCGCTATCAACCACGGTCGCTCCTAAAAGGAAACTTTGGGTACTGCCCCATACAGTAGCAGTCTATAATAGGGCTACTATTAAGGGCCTAATATATCCGTAATATAAATATTATCTAACTGCTACTGAGTGGGGACAGTACCCAAAGCAAACTTGTCTCTCCACGCCTCTGGGACAACCTGCTCGCTCGGTACCGGGGAGGACCTGGGCTCCAAAGTCCAGCCTCCTTCAACTTGGGGTAACTCTAGCTATACTATGACTATGATGTACTATCTTTTATGATAAGATGCTAGACTATACTGTTGTATATTATAATAATATACGAAGGTTTTGTGAGGTTTTTCTAGGGTGTAGGACATTGACATTGTGGGCATCTTTGTCTGGGCTGCTGGGCTTTTTCACGGAGCTAGGGCTTTATCCTTCCTGCATGCTCTGGATTGAAAGAGCAAGTCTGTAATTTCTTGGCCTCGGAACCCGAACCCCCAACTGTTGACCCGGAACCGCGTCTCCATGGAATGTAGATGCTATGCCTAAAGACTTTAAAAAAAACAGTTTGAGGTCCCAAACCTCAATCCCTACTCAGCAACAAATCCCGAAAACATATGGGGTTTTCCGAAAATAGGGGACCCTAATATAGTACCCTAAATAGTAGGACCCTTATCATAAGGACCCCCAAAATAAGGTACCCGTATTTTCGGAAACCCCCCATATGTCACGCGATGCCAAGGCTTGAAGCCGAAGAGTGGCATACTACCTAACCGCAAGCAGCAAGAACGAGCGCTGTCAGCAAGCCGTAACCTCAGCTTACAGGCACGAATCCTATGCCCATCCAAAGCCCATAAGCTAAAGACTCGATCCCTCAAGAAGAGGGCAGGGTCCGAGTCAGCAAAACAATGACAAACAACAGGGGCAAAATCAGCAAGCAGACCGGACAAAAGTCATCAACAGCAACGACTCAGCAAACGTGCGAGCTGATATCGGAGACGACCCGAACCGGCAAACACCAAGAAAGTACCATGCGATCTCAGCACCTCTAACACAACGACATGCTCCTGGATATGTAGTACAAACTTACCCGACATTGCAGCTGCAGAAAGATGCATATGTTACTGCTATGTATCTTGCGTCCGCCCTTGCCTGAGCTTGCACGCGAGGGTTTGTAACCACCATGCAAAACCCGAATGCCGGCCCTACTCTTACCACAAGGGGCGGGGGTTTAGAACGGCATCCTAATGACAATTTGCGTACAACTACTTGTGCTGCGCGGTCGCTCTTGTTTCATGCTTTCCACGAGAAACTTCAGGCTCCTGGTTTTCTGAACAACAGCGGCTTGCTTGCTGACTCGATTTGCCGAAAATGGCCTCGACTTGCTGACAGAAGCTACTCTGCTCAAGCGCCCCAAGCTCCACAATCTACCTGCGCTGTACTTTCGACGTTTCGGAGTTGGGGTTTTGAAGCAGACTAGGTTGGGTTCAAGGAATCCTTAACCCCACAGGTACCTACTATATAGGGTACTAGAGGCCCTAGGGCCCTGTATAGTAGGTACCTGGAGGGTTCAAGGATTTTGGGTTTGAGGGCGTTAAGATGCAGATGCAGCCGTAAACCCACGTGGCTAAGAGTCCCAAGGCCCTTACCCCAAACCTCAGGCCAAGACTCTCGACTACTCCTGCAGGGGTCTTCATAATTCCAATAGGGTTCTGGGGTATATTATTCTATTAACACAGTAAGGAACATAATTCCAACAAGCCAATAAGGTTTTGGGGTATATTAAACTATAAATATAACAAGGAACCCCAAATACTATAGGTAACTATTTAGGCCCCTACATTAGACCCTCAGCGGCCCGAATCCCAAAACCCTGGCCCCACGTAAGCAGCAAGCGTAGCCACGGGAGCCGTCTCAGGTGCGGTGTCGCCAGGATGCCTCGACATCGGCCGGGGTATTTTACTCGTAGACTCCGCATTTATGGGGTGTGGGTGTTCCTACCCATAGGCCCCATGGTAGTTCCTTTTTGGGATTACCATATAGGATTCTAAATATGAACCCCAAAAAGGAACTGCTATGGGGCCTATGGGTAAACCCTCAACCCTACAGAACTGCTTCGGGAGAGGGAGCGGGGGTGCCTATAGATCAAGAGGACCTGGGTTCGGGTTTGAGGGTTTAGGGTTTAGGGTTTAGGGTTTAGGGTTTGGGGTTTAGGGTTTAGGGTTGAGGGCGCGGAAGAGACAAGCTGCCTGGAGGTCTGCACTCCGATCAATACAGGGGTCTGAATAATTCAGATTAGAAGTACTCTAGTGCCTATCAGAAAGTAGTATTATACGTTTATTTAATGATTACTTGAATTTAGTACATTCTAGCACCTATCAGAGAATATTACTTAATGATTTCGACCACTGCATCAAACGACTGGAATCAGTATATTATTATTATTATTATTATTTGTATCATTAGTATTATTATTACTATTATTATTATTATTCGTATCATTAGTACATTATTACAACTATTATTATTATTATTACTTCAAAGAACAAGAACCTTCCATTTTTTTCGAGTAGCGGCTCTTCGGCTGCCGACCCGGGCCCTGCCATGGCGGGTGCCTGACGGGATGCTGCAGCAAGGAGGTGAGGCTGAGGGTCTACCCATAGGCCCCATAGTAGTTCCTTTTTGGGATGACCTTATAGGATTCTAAATATGAACCCGAAAAAGGAACTACTATGAGGCTGAGGGTGAAGGGCCACGCAATCTGCCAATGCAGTTCCGATTTCCTGGGCTCCCTCCACCCCACACACCCACAGAAACTTAACTCCCTGCCCTTTACTTTGGAACCAAGCTTTATGATGATTTGAACCGCTTCACTAAAGCAACATGCTCCAGTTTGGTAAAGGTGTCCTCGGCGGAAAGAGGCCTTACTCGAAACACGAGCGGCTACTCCTAGCCCAAAGACACCACGGCTACGCCCGTAGCTTTGGAATTGTCGGCGCATCTTCCCTCTGTCCAGGTTTAACCTAGACTCCCCAACTACCCTTTATTGTAACCCCTCATTACCTCTTCATGAAACTGTTAGAGCCCGTTAAACCCTTTATTGTAGCCCCTCATTACCTCTTCATGAAACTATTAGAGCCCCTTAAAGGGTACTTGGGTCCTGGAAGACCTTGATCCTGAAGCTCTCCGACCCGGAATCCTCAAATCCCACACCCTCACGCCGCGTCGATCCGATCCTGGGGCAACATGATATAGGACAACAGGGGCCTTCATGATAGCATGGATGGAGTTTCGGGACATACGTCGTTTAGACTATAAATATATACATGGCCTACAGGAGTATACTAGTGTGAGTCCTTCAGACCGATCGTACCCCCACCTGCCCTGCGTGGGAGATGTGCTCGCTTGGCACGGGCGACGTCCTGAGAACGAAGGGTACAGGCGCAAACAAGTCTAATGGTGCGCAGCAGGTTTATAGAGGCTTCTACTGAAATCATGATCATGACAATCGAATCAGGGCAGACATAGTGTTTCGGGCTGTAGGAGTGGCTTCTTGTTGATCCTGTCCCCATCTGTCTCCCATGTTTTTTACGTAGATTGCGGGCCTTACACCTAAGCCTGCTGCAAACCCAGAGAACCCGATACCCCTTAATTAAGGAATATACCTAAAACTATAGGGGTCTTACTATTATGACTTGGGGTATATTCCTTAATTACGGAGTATTGGGTTCTCTGGGAACCTCTGTGTGCCAACCTCCCTAGACCCTGGATTGCAGTGATTGCCGTCGCTTGGTCACCCAAGTTTCTGATTCTAGAACCCTAACCTGAAACCAGCGGATGATGCAAGAAGAGGGCCTGCAATCTGGCGCTCAGGTTTGGTATCATTCCGGTAGGACCCAACTGAGCTTTTGACGAAACCACTGGTACTGGCGTCACTGTCTCGGTGGGCTGCCTCGGGAATGCATGACATGAGGGCCGAAACAACTCGTCACGAAATCTATAGTCTGTGGTACAGTCTGGTCGTGGCACTGTTCCTCTCCTTCCCATTCTACTTATAATGAGTATGAATCGCCTTACACAAGCTTAAATTCTTTAGTTTTGCCCCACTATATTTACCCAGATGTTCTAGCATCCAGACCTCGAGACATGAGCAGGGGGCGAGCCGCTGCTATTTATGCTAAAGAAGTTAGGATTAGGGGGCCCCTTGGGGATATAGACCCTCTCAATAAGGTCCCTTATGAGAGAGCCATAGTTAGGGTTGAGAAGGGTCCTAACAGGGCTTGTCCTTCTAATTTCGCAGGAGAGCAAACCGGGCCCCCATGCCTGTTTCCGTAACAGGAACCCCGTAAGGAAGTGTCTCGATGGAACTGTCCATTCTGCGTCATAGTTGAAGTACCGTCCTCTCTCCTGCGGTACCTAGGAGATTAGATCCAAGCAACGGCCTTTGGAAAAGTACTTCCACACAGGCATTTCCTTACAGGCGTCCCGCCTTTCCAGGTAAAACTAGAACCCCAAATTGAGCCCCTGAAGCTTCTGCCGACGGCCCCTGAGCCCACGGATTGAGGCTTAGCCGCCTGTACCACGGCTTAGGGTTTATAATGCTTCCTCAAGAACCCAAAACCCACTTTTTTGTAGGTTCCTATTATAAACCCTAATATGGGATTTATAGGGACCCTACAAAAAAGTAGGTTTTGGGTTCTTAAGGTTGGTGTACATCCCAATCCAGCAAACCAACATTCAAGTGCTTCGACAGCCGCGAAGCTCGGCAAGCTCTAGCATGTCCAGGAAGCTTTGGATACGTAGTAATAATGTAGACTGATGCTTTGGGAGTATATAATATGAATAGTAGAAAATAGATGACCGACATAAACACAAGGCACGCGCACTCATGTGAAACGCCACCGTTCTGTGCCACCCCTTCCCAGCGAGTCGCTGTGCCGCAGATCCGGGTGCAGAGACGGCAGCTGGTGCCTGACGCGTGCACTGAGAAGGCTAAGGAATGCTACTTGGAGGATCATGGGACTTAGTAAGTAAGGTTATAAGTCCCTTAATTGGGGTTATAAGTATAGTTACCTTAGTTATAACCCTACTTACTAAGTCCCATGATCCTTTAAGTATCTCCGCCAGAGATCGAATTAGAAGTGTGAAATAACGAATGTCCTCGGGGCCCCAAGACGAACCTGAAACCCTCAAAACCAAACCGTCGGAGCCTTAAACATTAATACAGCGCGTTGGGAGTTTAGCAGCATGTGATTCTACCAGAACCAGTTCGCAGAAAGAGTTTTGTCATCAATCAATCAGACCGGAAACCCGAGAATCTCGATTCCCGAGATCGATTCGGGACTTTGCGGTTTTCGGTGCTACGGTATAAGGGGTTGGGTTTATGGCTTCAGGGCTTCAAAGTTTTAGGACTTTAGGCGTTAGGGTTTACTGTTTAGCGATACAGGGCAGGCTTCTGGCGCTTCAGAGTTCTGGAACCTTTGAGCCAAGGCTGCTTAAGAAACCAAAACAGCCCTAGGCCCTGGACCAAGCTGTGGATTTAACCCTAAACCCTAAACCCTAAACCCTAAATTATAGATTCCCCTCCGACACGAGGGCCTCGATATTCCGGCCGCTAACCGATTCCATCGTACTTGCCACCCTAAGCCCTAAACCCTAAACCCTAAACCCTAAGCCCTCAACCCTAAACCCTTTTTGGGTATCAGGGGTCTTATCTTTAAGGCCCACGAAGCTTCCTCAAAGCTCAACGAGACCTTCAATCTTCAACCTGGACCCCTAAAGCCGAAGGCCGTCTAAAGTTGAGGCCTACGGCCTACGGAGCATCCCTTAAACCCTAAACCCTAAACCCTTTTTTGAGCAGGGACTGCAACCCTAAACCCTAAACCCTAAATCTCTCCTCGCAAGGCACCTCCGGAGTGATCCACTCACTGGGCACCTGCACCTCTCTTGGCGACGACCTGAGCATCTGCCCCGTTCTTGATCTCTAGGGTTTAGGGTTTAGGGCTTAGGGATCTCTGTTCCACTTAGACTTGGGGGGTTTGGGTTGCTTTTTAGGGGTTTGGGGATTTTTTGGATCGAGGGCTTGCGCTTCGGGTTTCGGGCTTCCAGGCCCAAGTGTTTTAAGATTTAAGTCTTCGGGTTTGGAAAAAGGCGCACTTGAGGATGAACACCAAAGCGTCAAAGTGTCCCCTTCTCCTCGTGCTCAAGGAACAATGTCCTCGAGACATAAGGGTAGCACAGAAACCCCCTCCACCAAGAGAGCCCCCTTGTCCGTTGAAAGCAAAGTGGCATCAAATGAGATGAAGAAGCAACCTCTCGTTGAAGAGATGCATCTTGCCATAAGGGCGGCTGGCATTCTCTAAGCAATCGGCAGTAGCAGTAGAGTCTATATAAGTTAGAGCTGCAGAGTTGCAATTAGACTTCAAACCGTCGGGTTTGTCTTCGAGCGACGCTGTGCTAGGCTGTTTGCATGCCCTCGACTCGTCGTTCATGTCACAATACCCAGACGCCAGGGATAGGGTGTAAGCCGCAGAACCCGCAGCCGGCCAGAGAATTTCTGAACCTCGAAGCCCTGAGAGCGAAAACCAAAGGACCCGGCGCAACAGCAGTTGGAGGCTCCTGTGCAAGGAGGGAATGAAGAAGTAGGATTGGATTTGGGGCTCGGAGGCATCAATTTAAGCATTTCAGTACATGTCTTGTTGCAGCTATGACGACCCACAAGCAACATCCTAAAAGCTGTTGACCTTCCCGATGGTCTTGCGTTGCACCAGGACCGCAAGCCCCAAACACCAAAGACGGCGGCCTAAACCCTCCAGCGTCAAATGTTCAACCTAATATAACTGCACGTGCAGTTCCTGGCCCTAACGTTGCACCCTCATCCACTTGTCTGCCCAAAACTCCACGAACAGCAAGGCCCCTATCCGACGCAAATGATGACCAACTACGACGAAGCACCAGTACTATCACCCTAAGTTAACCCCTAAACCTACACCTCCAAACTCCAAACCCCCCGGAACCCTCAATGCCTCCTTTTCGCCCACGGAGTGGAGGATGTCGTGCACGACTGTCTCGCCAAGGCGTCCTTGGGGGCTTTACGCGGGGTTCGGCTTTGGGGCTCGGGCTTTAGGGTTTAGGGGGGGTCTCTGACTATGGTGCTTTTGTTGCCTCCCTCCTGGCTAGGACGAACCTACGATGCAGGGAAAGGTCTTAGGCGTGCTTCAACTTTCGAAAAATCTTTTCCGCCCAGGGTTTCGGACTAGGATTTCGCGCGTAGTGTGCGTGCAGGGGCTTGAGGTCCTTGACAATACGATGAATGCCGATGTACTTGTACTGCCACATGAACACGTGCATGACTGCTGCTATAGCTTCAATGTCGTGCAACATCAAGGGGCCGTAGATTGAAAGGATTCAGATTCTTGAAGTGATTCTTGAATAGCCCGGTTCGGGACATCGCAAGCGCACAGCTTGGGCCTTGGAGGTTTGGGGTTGTAGGTCTTGGTGTGTATCGTGGTCCAGGGTTTCAGTCTGGGGGGGTTGCGGGTTCGAGGCTCATACCCAAACCCCCAAAAGGATCTAAAAAATAGATCCCCTAAAAGGGTTCCTATAAAAAAAGTACCCTTTAGTAGTTAGGGT